CTGTGCTATTACCCCAAGCTATGATGGGGTCGGTGAAAAGAAACATTCCAATGTACCTGTACTTGTACAAATAGCAAATAAAGCATGTTTGTTTGTTTGTTAGCCTAAAATATCGCAGACCTTGACGTGCACTGATTTTACAAGATAGTCAATGTTATTAGCTTCATGTGGGGGTCATAATGTTTTGGCTCATTGAAGTATATGTAAAGTTTATCTAGTTGCAGTGTGTCCCCTTTGAATACAGGTGCAGAATTGGCAGAAAAGATGACCTCAGTTCCACGCATCATCAAAACACATTTTCCTGTTCAGTTCGTGCCCAAGTCCTTCTGGGAACAAAATTGCAAGGTACAGCTATATACATTTTACGGCTGATGATCACAAAACACAGCCAACCTGAAGTCAAATTTGTTTGTGTTTTTCTTCACACAGCTCATTTATGTGGCCCGTAATGCTAAAGACAATGTTGTGTCCTACTTTCACTTTGACCGCATGAACATAGTGCAACCTGAACCTGGAGACTGGCCCAGTTATCTGCAGAGGTTTCAGGAGGGAAAAGGTGAGTAGATATGGGGGAAATTATGAGTGGGATTGTGCAGGACTGTGCAGACGGAGTGACTCGAGTATGCAACTGTCCAAAGAGTGGGTCAATAGAGAACGGTAGCATCAATGTACCCAAATCATTCATTCAATTTCAGAAACTGCATATATGCACACACAATTTGGGAACTCCAATTAGCCTCAGCATTTTTGGACTGTGGGGGGAAACTGGAGCACCTAGAGGAAACCCCATGATGACATGGGGAGAACATGCAAACTCCACACATGGAACACTGGCGGAGACTAAAACCCAGGTTCCAGAGATGTGAGGCAACAGTGCTAACCACTGCACCACCATGCCACCCTTACTCAAACCCATTCATTATTAAAAAACTGAGTCTTTTAGGTCATGTGACATGCATTGCCACACTCTCTTTTCACCCTACTGTCCCAGTGGTTTTTGGCTCATGGTACAACCATGTGAAAGGATGGTGGGAGAAAAAGCAGACATACGGCAACATCCACTACATGTTCTACGAAGACCTTGCTGAGGTGAGATCCTGGAAATAGCCACGGAAGTTGCACCGTAGTCCAGCAACAGACTAAAATAACGCAAATGTCAGTAACAAAGGCAGGTGCAGTGAATATGAACCGCTAAGTAACACAGATTAGGTTGTTGTATTCATTCTAAACTCAGACTGCTTTGTTTCTTAGGACACAGCCCAGGAGATAGAGAAGATCTGCTCCTTCCTGAACATCTCACCAACACAGGAGGAGAAAGATCACGTGATAAAAGAGGTGGCATTCGACACCATGAAGAAGAATAAAATGGCCAACTACTCCACCATCGGTGTCATGGATTTCAAAATTTCACCATTCATGCGAAAAGGTGGGTGGTTATGATATTCTTAAGGACAGTGCATGTGTAATGACAGAACACTCAGGGAAGTTCCAACAGGTTTTATTGGGGAGATCCGAAGCAGAGTCCAAAGAACAAACAGGGAAGATCAGGGCTGGGTCAGATGGGAGCAGGAAGGTTCTGGAGGCGCAGGAAGGGGGAGCAAGGAAAGCCAGGCGGATTGGAGCTGAAACAAAGACAAAGGTAGAAGTCGCTCAGAAATTGCATTACAAACAATACTTCGCACGGAATGATGGTCGTGCGAGATTTAAGTAGCTAAGAGGGCATGTCTCTGATGATGCGCACCTGCCGGCGTGACAGAACCCCCCCTCTGATGACCAACTACTGGCAGTCGAATATTGCGCCTAGGTCTGCCACGGGGTTGAGGTCCCGGTCGGGAGGGGTGGTCCACATGAAACTGTGCGATCAGAGAAGGATCAAGTATATCAGAAGCAGGAACCCAACAACATTCTTCAGGGCCATACCTCTCCCAATCGACGAGATACTGTAAACCCCCTCTCCGGCAGCGGGAATCAAGCAGGGATTTCACGGCGAAGGCTTCGGCGTCAGTTAGAGGGATCGGCGGAGGTGGCTCACGAGCATCTGTGGGGGAATGAGCGAGGCTGTAGCGAACCGGCTTGAGGAGAGAGACATGGAAAACGGGGTGAATACGATACAACCTGGGGAGAAGTAGGCAGTAAGTAATGGGACCAACCCGGGCAGACACCTTAAACGGACCAATGTACTTTGGGCTGAGCTTACGACCTTGGGGCAGTCAGAGCTGCCGTGTAGATAGCCAGACTCGGTCCCCTGGATTGAACACCGGTGCTGAAAGTCGTCGTCGGTCTGCTTGCGCTTTCATCCAGGCGGCTCCCTTAGACAGTTGTCGATGTACAGTATTCTATACCTGTTTGCATCGTTGATGCCACTGTTCCACGGCGGGGACCTTGGTGGAAGTCCAGGGGAACAGAGGAGGTTGGTGACCCAGCACACACTGAAAAGGAGTGAGACCCGTAAGGGGATTCACTAAGGAATTCCAGGCATATTCTGCCCATGACAGGTATCGAGACCAGTCGTGGGGCTGGGTGGAACAGAGGGTACGTAGCATTTTCCTGACTTCCTGGTTCATTCCCTCGGCTTATCCGTTAACTGGGGATGATAAGCCGTGGTGAGACTTACCCGGATTTTCAGTTTAGCACACAGAGCTCAGAATGCTCGGGAGGTGAATTGGGGTCTGTGATCTGACACAATGTCTTCGGGAATGCCGGAGTAACGGAAAACCCACTGGAGGAGTTGCTCCCCAAGTTCTAGGGAAGATGGCACTTGGGTAGGGGAATGAGACGACACATTTTTGAGAAAATGGTCAACCACGGTTAGGATGGTAGTATTTCCCCGAGAAGGGGGAAGATCCATAATGAAATCTACTGCTAAGTGGGACCAAGGTCGTGAAGGAACCGGTAGTGGGTGAAGCAATCCCAATGGGGGTTGATTAGGTGATTTATTTTGAGCACATACAGGGCAGGTTAAGATGAGGAGGGAAGTTTCACGTCTCCAGCCAGGCCACCAATAGCATCTTGCTAAGAGACGGTTTGTGGCTTCTACCCTGGGATGTCCCGAACTCAGTGAGGTGTGGACCCATTGAAGGATTGAATTTCTCAGCTGAGACAGTACATACGTGCGACCCGGTGGGAAGGTGGGGCGGGCCTTTCGTTGTGCAGGTGGAGCTGACGTTCCAAATCCCACTGGATCGGGCAGACGAAGCAGGTGGGAGGCAGAATTGGGGTCGGATCCTTGGACATCTGGTGATGAGGAAATCAGCGGGAGAGGGCATCTGCCTTCACATTCTTAGATCCGGGAATGTAGGAAACCTGGAAGTCAAACCGGGTAAAAAACAGAGCCCATCTGGCCTGAAGGGGGTTGAGACGCTTAGCGGACTGCAGATATTGCAGGTTGCGATGGTCCATGAGCACCTGTAAGGGGTGTTTAGCCCCCTCTAGCCAATGTCTCCACTCCTCCATGGCCTCTTTTATGGCTAATAATTCGCGGTTTCCCATGTCATGATTACACTCAGCGGGGGACAGTTTCTGGGAAAGGAATGCACAGGGGTGAATTTTACCTGATTGCATGTCCTTCTGCGAGAGCACGGCTCCGATTCCGACTTCGGAGGCATCTACTTCGAAAATGAAGGGTTCCTCTGGATCGGGCTGTCGTAACACCGGAGCAGTGCAGAATCTTTCCTTTAATTCGGTGAAGGCGTGCGAAGCTGCCTTGGACCAGACAAGTTTTTTCAGTCCCCCTCTAAGTAGGTTAGTCGGGGGGGCGGCTACCACACTAAAGCCCTTAAAGAGCTTCAGAGATTTCTTGGATTCGCCAATTTCTATCGTCGCTTCATTAATGCTATTAGGTTGTGGCCACTCGAGGACAGCTCTGACCTTACCTGGGTCCATAGCCACTTCTCCTGATTGGATCTGATAACCTAAAAACTGAATAGACGTATAGTGGAACTCACACTTTTCTCCCTTGATGTAAAGGTGGTGACTGGCCAAATGCTGTAGAACCTGTTGAACGTGTGTGACGTGTTGAGTGAAGTTCTCTGAATAAATTAAGATGTCGTTGATGTAGGTGATAACAAATCTGTTTAACATGTCTTGGAAGATGCTGTTGATGAATGCCTGGAAGATAGACGGACTGTTAGCCAAACCGTACGGCATAACAAGATATTCGTACTGACCAGTAGTTGTGAGAAAAGATGTCTTCCACTCATCTCCCTCTCGGATCTGGATGAGATTGTAGGCACGCCGCAGATCGAGTTTGGAAAAGATCTTTGCTCGTCAAAGTTGCTCGAGTGCTGAGGGGATGAGAGGGAGAGGCTCCCGTCATTTCTTTTGTAACTGCATTTAGAGCGCAGTAATCTATACAAGGGCGTAGACCTCCATCCTTCTTTCCTACGAAGAAAAATCCAGCTGCCATGGGAGACGTGGATGGGCGGGTAATACCTTGTTCCAGTGCCTCGGATATATAGGTTCGCATGGCCTCTTCTTCCGATCGAGACAGGGCGTAGAGTCAGCTTTGTGGCAGAATGGTTCCTTCCAGGAGTTCGATAACTCAGTCAGATGGTTGATGTGGGGGGAGACCATAGGCCTCTGCTTTACTGAAGACCTTTTGAAAGTGATGATATTCCTCTGGAATCGTGGAGAAGTCCTCCGGGAGTGAACTTTCTAAGGAAGATACTCAACAGAGGAGAGACATACAATAACAACAACAACAAATTTATTTTTGTATAGCGCTTTATCACAACATTACATCATCTCAAAGCGCTTTACAGCATCCCCACCCAAAGCCCCCAGTGAGTAAGTCATAGGAGACAGTGGCAAGGAAAAACTCCCTAGAAGGAAGAAACCTTGGGAGGGACCAGACTCAAAGGGGGAACCCATCCTCCAGGGGCCGGCAGGGAGAGTCAGATACAGTAAATTTTGAGACACAAACGGGGAGCAGGGGGGAGATGGCAAGCCGGTGCCAACGCTCCCTCCAATCACCAGGCAACTAGAAGGCAGGGAGCGGGTCATACAAGGAAGATGACACAGGCAGAACGGCAAGCTGGATGCACGGACGTCATTGGTAGAAGCGACGTCACATGTAGCAGGGTGTGCTGGACATCTTGATAGATTGAGGGCTCCTGGCAGCACCCCCCAGGAGAAGTAGGGGAAATAAAATATGCAATTAGTCAAAGTAGGGGAGACTATAGGCAGTGCTAAAAGTTAGATGAGTGCAATATGAAGTGCAATGCTCCGGCAGATATGGCTATGGCAGCATAAGTAGTAGGGACAGGCAGGTGGGAATGCAGGCATGGGGAGTCCCTGAAATGACAGCACTCCAATCCCACAAGCGATTGTGAAGCTAGAGTGACAGCACTGTCAATTCAGTTTAT